CCTAGCATCCAGATTGTAGTTTTGAAATACTGTTTTGCATTAAAGAAACCAAAGGAGCTGAACAAATTATGACTTGGAGGCTTAAAACAACGAAGATTTGTTTTCTCGGAGTTCTGGAGGACAGATACCTAAAATCAGAATGTCACCAGGGCCGCGTTTCCTCTGAAAGCTCTAAGGGAGAATAATTCCTGTCTCTTCCAAGCTCCTGGTGCCCTCAGGCACTCCTTGGTTTCTAGCTGCATATCTCCAATTTCTGCCTCTGCCGGTACTTGGCCTTGCCTGTGTGTTTGTCTTATTCTCCTCTGTCTCTTGTAAGGACACATTATTAGATTTAGAGCCCAACCCAATCCAAGTTGAGCTCATCTTGAAATCTTTTAACTTAACAGCATCTGCAAAGACTGTTTTTCCAAATAAATCATATTCACAGTTTCCAGGAGGATGTATATTAAGGGGCCGCCATTCAACATGCCACAGTTTGACCACTGGCCCCTAAAATTCATGTTTAGCTAACACGCAAAATGCATTCACCCCTTGACAACATTACCAGAAGTCTCAGCCCCTTACAGCATCAACTCTAAAATCTCATCTAAATATCATCAGCTCCTAAGTCCCAAATCTCATCTAAATCAGGTAAGGGTGAGACACCAGGTAGGATCCACCCTGTGACAAAACTCTTCTCTATATGTAGACCTGTGAAACTAGAAAACAAGTGATTTGTTTCCCAAAACAGTGGTTGGACAGGCACAGGCTACACGTTCCCATTGCAAAAGAGAGAGCGGAAGAAATAAGGGGAACACCAGTTCCAAGCAAGTTCCAAATCCAGGACAAAGTCCTTTGGGTTTCAAGGCCTGAAAATAATCCCCTGTGGCCCACCGCTCTGCCCTCTGGGCCTGTGATGAGGCCCTGCCCACCATTGCCACCAAAGGTCTGCCCATGGAGACAGCCATCCTTTTTCTTAAAGGGTAACGTGTTTGCAACCAAGTAGTCTATCAGCCCGCTTCTCACCTATAGAATCTCCAAAAGCCTCCCTTCATTTTGTCCTCCCTCTGTCCCCTTTAGTCCAAGCTGCCATTTTTCTGCTAATACAACATTCTCAAATACCTTGTGGGTCTCCTGGGCATGTTACAGAGGGCTGCTCCATTACACAAGAGGGTCCTCCACAGACCTTTCCTGGATAGCCCCACTGCTATCCGAGGCTTCTGCAGAGATGTTTGAGCAAACCCGTAAATCACATGCCTAATCTCTTAAGCCACATCCTTGATCCTCCCTCCAGAGAATGCTTTTCCAGCAACTAATTTCCTAATTTTAGCATCCTTTGTGATCTGGATAGTTGGAGAACCTCCCAAATCAGGAAGTATTTATTTCTTTTTGCCTAACAGTTCTTTCCTCCCATTCATTTCTTTCCTTCCCATTTTATTTTAAGCAGCAAGGAGAAACCAGGCTGCACCTTTGCTACTTTCCTTGAAAATCTCCTCAGCTAAATACCCAAGTTCATCACTTGTAAGTTCTGCTTTCACCCAACAATAGAACACAATTCAACCAAGTTTTCTACCACTTTATAACAAGGATTGCCTTCCCTCTAGCTACTAATACTATGCTCCCCGTTTCCTTCTGAGATCTCACCAAAAGGACCTCTAACATTGTACTAATATTCTGTTCATGACTATGTATATATATGAATATACATTCATGTATATAGATTCATTCTCTAAAATGATAGCTTTCTCTACTATGCTCTTCACTTCTTTCTAGGCTCTCATCAGAACTGCTGTTAACATCCATATTTCTACAAACCACCTCTTCGAGGAAATCTAGGCTTCTTTTTCTATCAGTATACCTCAAAATTCTTTTAGTCTCTATCTCCCAATTCCAAAGTTACTTAGCTTTAGTTACGGCAGCACCCCTCTTCCCAAAACCAAAATCTGCACTGGCTGCCTAGGGTTGCGCCAAACTTGGTGGCTTACAACAGCAGGAACTTATTCCCTCAGAGTTCTAAAAGTCGGAAGTCCACAGGGTAGGCCACTCCCACTCTAAACTTTTTGGGAAGAATCCTTCCTTGGCTCTTTCAGTTTATGGGGGCTCCATGGGTTCTGTGGTTTGTGGTAGCATAACTCCAGTCTCTGCCTGTTTTCACACGGCATTCTTCTGTGCCTGCATGTTGCAAATCTTCCCGTCCTTCCTCTTAAAAGGACACCTCCCGCCATTGGATTTAGAGCCCACACTAAATCCAGAATAACCTGGAGATCTTCTAGATACATATGCAAAGACCCTATTTCCAAATAAAGTCACATGAACATATATTTTTGAAGGCTGCAATTCATCCTGCTACAAGGGCTTTCAGGGAGAAATGATTACAAATATGTAGTAAGTACACATGACGAACCAGGAACATCTTGACACACCAGATAGAAAGAAGCTGTTGGAGACTACAAAAGGTCATAAGAACTCAGAAGCCAATTTGAAGCGGCTCCCACTGACCAAAAATGAAACAATTTGAACATCAATGAAAACAAGAACTACAATGTTTTGAAAATGATCAAATATCTTTAAATTCATGAGTTCTAAGTACTTTTTTAAAAAATTGGGTTTGTTATCTCATGAAGATAACAGAAAACCAACTTGCTATCTTGAAACCTAGATAAATAAAATGAAAGAATCAAGCATATATCTTTCTTTTCCTATATGAACTGTATCACTGAGTAACCAAATATTGGATAAGGATTATCTCCTTATGAAAATTATCCCAGTTAACCTATGGTAACAAAATGATAGAATTTTATTAACACTATTTTGCAGCCACTATGAATTAATGGATCCCGGCATTGAACATCAATTGTATGTAACAACAAGAAAGAACAAAAATCAGACATCACGTACCTACAGGTGAAAGACCTATAGTCTTGCCAAAGGGACAGAGCCTCTGGATCAGGTGTCCAATAAAACCTCTGAATCCTGTTGCCGATTTGCAGAAAATACCAAGGACATAGTGACATATTGAACTGTATCATGATTCTGCAAATACCAGAATCCAGACTATGAAACTCTATGAGTTCTTTCACCGATACATTGTAAGCAAAAAAAGAAACAGAAGAATTTCCACATTAAAAAAAAAAAGATACATGGAATTTTTTTAAAAATGGGCAGACTAAAACTGCCATGTCAAGGGTTAAACACTTTGATAAGAGAACCATCAAGAAATGCAAGAGAGTGACTGATAATTTAAAAAGTTCAGAAAAGAGTTTCATGAAGGGAGTTGTCAAAATTTTAATGCTGCTAAGACTGGCAAAGATGTCTATCTAGAAGATGTCTTATTCATGTTTTCTTTCTCAGTGTCTAGGAAAATGTGTGGCATATAGTTGGAACTCACTAAATATTAACATACACGGTGTAGCCATTCCAATACCTATCAGTCTCACTCCAACGTTTTTGGAATTGTAAAAAAATGCAACAAGATATACAAGAAAGAAGGGAAGGAGGGAGGAAGGGAACAACAAAGAAAAAGTAGGGAAAAAATATCTCACTCTCCCAAGTGCTCCATGCAGTCCCCACGTCTCTCCATTTCAGCTCACTGAAATTATCCTATAAAACAAGGCACAATCTAAGTTGTCCCAAATTGCATATGCCTGTAGGATATAGCAAGAGAGAAAATTCCATTTCCTGGATCTTGGGCCCATGTGAGCATGCAAGACTTCCAGGTCCTTGAAGAACTCCCTCCTCAGCCCCTCCCCCCCCCCACCACAAGTGTCTCTAAAACCCAAGATGTGGCTCATGCGTGCTTAAGATGGGACACTGCCATTTGACACTCAAAGTGCCAAAATCCCCTGATTATCTGTGGGAAACTGTGCCCTCTCCCCTTTGTGCTACCATCTGTTAGAGGTGCCCAAAGCAGTGCTGCATCTGCTCCCGTTGTCTTATAAACCTGAGTGGAAGAACTCCTTCAATTTTTTTATTCACAGACCTCTTTCCCTCTCTAGGATTCAGACAATGGGGCTAAATGTTTAGTATTAAAGTGTGCTTGATTTAAAAATTAAATAGAAATGAACTAGAGAGAACTAAAACGGGTTGTGAATTATTTAAGTCAGTCCAGAAGTCATTTTGCAACAGGTTTCATGGGTATATTCTTGACAATCAAAGCAGCTGCCATTCTTATTACTTTACTCTAGTGTCCCACCATTATCATAACTCAGCTTTCTCTGTCTCTGATAATCTCTGGGCATCTTTCTATTTCTGTTTCAAAAACCAGGCTACAGGCTCTCTTTCCATATATCCAAGTCAAACTTCGAAGAAAGGAATTGATTGGTCAAGCTAATTACCATTGGTCTTGTATGGACATTTGTGTCAGGACATCTCATGAGCCACTAATCCATCTTTGAATCAGCAGTGGTCACAAAGTAATGTAATGCGGTCCCAAAATGGATATATGAGAGTGGCAGGCACTCTCAGGCATGATTTTCCTGCACTAGGAAATGAGAATTCCTGTACATAGTGGGTCAGAGGACATGCTCTGAATGGTTTCAGTGTTTTAAATGTGTTGGAGGTGTCTTTATGGCTCAGTGGATGTCAGATTTTGGTAAATGTTCCACGAGCATCAAGTATCCTCTATTTCCAACTAAAGGCTAACCTTAGTTTACAAACATCTAGCTCCCTTCTGACATTAAGCGTGTGTGATTTGAGGCATACAGTAACCAACCGGTGAACACTTAGCTCGAGTTCTTATTTTTCTTCTATTTAACTCTTTTCTCCGATTTTTCAAAATTTAACAACTATTGCTTCTAGTTAAAAACGGAAAGAAAGAAAAAAACACGTGCATTCCCTTGCGCAGTTCCGTGTTCTTCTCACCAACAAAGGGAGACCCAGGCCACCACGTCCCCCGACTGCCGCCCCAGAACCCGGGCCCCGACCCACCGCCCCTGAAACACGTGAGCACCAACGCGCCAGAGGGGGCGGCCCTAGCGACGGCCGAGGGGCGGGGCCCGCCGCGGCGTGCTGACGTCAGAGAGGGCTGCGACGCCGCCGGTCAGCCGTGAGGCTGACGGCGGTAGCCGGTGCGTGTTCGCAGCCGGGCCTGGGCAGCGGCGGCGTCCTAGGAACTCGCGCAGCGTCCGCGGACTCCGGGGCGGGGGCTGCGGCAGCGAAGCCCCCTCCCCGGGGAGGCGGGGCTTGGGGGAGCTCCCCAGTAGGGGAGCGGTGGCGGCCGGGGAGGATGCATCAGAAGCTGTTGAAGAGCGCGCATTACATCGAGCTGGGCAGCTACCAGTACTGGCCAGTCCTGGTGCCCCGCGGCATTCGCCTGTACACCTACGAGCAGATCCCCGTGTCCCTCAAGGACAACCCATACATCACCGACGGCTACCGGGCTTACCTCCCCTCCAGGCTGTGCATCAAAAGGTACGGTCTGGCCGCCTCCGCGGGGCGTGCCTGGGGGACGCGCCGGCGGCCCCACCTCACCTACCGTTTTTTGTCTGGTCTCCCCTCTGCTCTCCCCGCTGCTTTCTGTGCCCATCCTTTTCATCCCTTCCTACCACCTCTCCTCTCTCGTTATCTTCCATCCTCCGCTGCCGGGGTACTTGATCCACAGAATAATAATGATAGTAACAATGATTTTAATTACCAGCTCCCCTCTGGCTCTCTGCTGTTTACAAAGGGCTTTTACATCCTTTATTCCTTTTGGTGTTTGCTGGGATGCACGGCGGACACCTCACTGACAGGGGCTGAGCCACACTTGCCGCTATGTATACCTAAGCTTTATTTTTAGAGCAGCCCTATGGAAATTCGGACATTCGGGGTCAGATAAATACCTGTATAATAGTGAACAAGTTCACATTGTCATACATGTTATATAAGTATATATACGATGTATATATATACACATTGACATATATTATGTCGTATATGATCATGACATATAATATATAAAGTATATATAATGTTTTATATATATATATTTAGAAACCCCCGATTCATTCATTCAGTAGGGACTGTGGAGCCCTTGCTAGGTGTCAGGGACTTTAGCCAGGTGGTGCAGAGAACAGACAGGGCCCTTGTTCTCATGGTGGTACTATGGTCCAGCCTGAGTGACACATTAAAAAAGATAATTATGCTGTTACATAATAACCATTGTGAAAAACGCTGTGTAGGAAAAGCACATCAGCAAAGAGAGCCTATCATAAAGGGCATGGCCCTCCTCGAGCACTATAGAAGCAATTCTGAATTTCCCCATCATCTAAACCTTTGAAACCAAAAGTCCCTTGAAAGCCTGGGTTTAAAAAAACAAAACTGAAAAAGTAATTCTTAGGAGAGCTTTCTGTTAAAATTCATTTTATATACTTAAATACAGGACCCCACTTGAATTGCTCAAGCAGCAACCAGAATGTCTGATTCTTGCTCTTTTCAGCATGGTCTTCACCCAGTCCCTTTGCCCTGCCTTGGAAGTATTTCTGAGACTCACAGTCACAAGTTGACAGCATTGTCGATCACTTCCTGATTTTAATGGATGGCCCACAAGACTTCACAATTTGAATTCTAAGTAATCGTTTCCTCCCCGGCGCCTCCTAGGCATAAGTTACTACACAAGAAATCAGAGCTGGGCCCCGCTGTCCATGAACATTTCCACAAGGATGGAGCAGGTAGAGAATTGCCTTAAATATTTTATACCCACCTAACAGCAGTCCTCTGCATTCTGATATCAGAGCCCAAATATTACGGATAGAGAAATGAAATCTAGTGCTTTAGATCTTGGGCTGTTGAGTCAAAAAAAAAACAAAAAAAACAAAAAACGTTGGGTGTCCAGATCTTCCACTTAACAGCTTTAAACAAAAGTTAACCTCTCTGAGCCTTATTTTCCCTATTTGTAAAAGTGAGAATGATCACAATAGCTGCTTCAGAAAGTACAATAATAAAGATTAAATGAGATTATATATGTAAAACCCTACACAATCCTAAACACACAGTGAATGATATCATAATGATGATCGAGTTCAAAGATGAATATATGTTGATGATGGAGATGATTATTGATTTTGAAACTGAACAGAATCTGGCCATAGATTCTCATAAAATAGGAGTATGTCCTCTACAGGGGATATTCTTCTAAGTGCTCTTCCCAGTTTCAGCTGTTGCCCACTCTTTTAGCTGTCAAGCATGACCAGAACAGATTTCAGATATGAGAGGTATTGTGTCACAACTGTTTGCCAGTACTCTGTTATTTGGAAAACCCTGCCAACATTGTTCTCAATTCAGTTCATTAGATTATACTGAGTTGCACAAAATGAAAAGTTCTAAAGCAATAGGCAGAGCATAGTATTGATTGTCAACACAGACCTGTAGTTAAATGTGTTCTCTCACATTCCTGCATGCTATCCCCACCCCCCGCAACACACACAATATAAGTAGTCTTTATACTTGATGCTTGTACAGAGTAAAGCCTCAAATTCATGATACAAGATCCACTTTTCTCTTGATGACCATTTGACAGTGTGAGACCCTGCTGCTGTTGATAAGGGAAAATGGGAACCATGGTGACTGCTGCAAACTCAGTAGGTTAGCTTTATATGTTAACACTTATTAATAAGGATTCTGAATCAGTGAAAATCAAAGACCGTAGTTTAGAAAGATTATATTCTGCAAGGTATATAATCTTTTTATCATGGTATCACCTTTCAGTAAGTAATCAGATGAGTTCTATCCACAGCAGGAGAAACATTTCACAGAAGCAAGGAAGGAGCTGGGAGGGACTGGCAGCAACATCTGATCCAGCTCCCTTGTTTTATAGGTGAAGACACTGAAGCCAGAGAGGCTCAATGACTTGCTCATGGTCACAGAGCTAATCTGTTATAGAGGGGGTGAAGGGACTGTAGGCCTTTCCACTTGTGGTCGGGCTGGTACACCAACCATGTGTGCTGCCAAAACTACTTAAACTCAAACCAGTTAGTCAGCATTTTGAAAGAGGGTAAATAAAACTGATATTAAAAGTAACCTCCTATTGTCCCTGAAAAGAACATGCCACCTGGAAACACTAGTATGGTTCCAAAATAATCATAGCCAAGTTGTCCCAGCATGCCCATCTTAAAGGTATTTCCAGTGAATCGGTTTGTATTTATTCTGCTTCTCTCAAGTCCAGTTAATTTTTTATTTGCATTTAATGAATGCTAAAAAGGTATTTTAAGTGTGTGCTTAACTAACACTTAGAAGGTTTTCAGATATTTATTATTGAACATCAAAGTATTCTAGTTAATAACCAGTTTTCATCTGCACATTTATTTCTGTAGACATTTAGCATCTAATTTGAGCAAGGCACTGTGCTTGGAACAGTGGTATCATAACAATGAATGGTGCCAGCCATCCAAGGGAGTTCATAGACTGGAGGATGAGATGGAATTTATCCATAAGTAACTATAATATGAGGAAGAAAATGGTCAATATGATAATACAGGTGAGCACCAAAAAAGCTCTAAGACCCTAGGATTGGTTGTGGAAAAACTTAAGAGATTAATTAGACTAAATGATATATCAAATTTAGAAAGGCAGAGATTGGGTTAAGGGCTTAAAGTAACAAATGTTAGATAACCCAGAAAAATTGCACTAACCTTTTAATTGCAACGAGTGAGCCACTATAGTTCTAAACTGCATGGTTTGTTTGTTTGTTTGTTTTCCAGTTTGTTTATTTTATCTAATGAGACAGTAAACATCTGGAGTCATCTGCTGGGTTTCTTTCTCTTCTTCACACTGGGGATATATGACATGACATCTGTGTTACCCTCGGCAAGTGCCTCCAGAGAAGATTTTGTGATATGTTCTATTTGTCTTTTCTGCTTCCAGGTAAGTCACTTCACAAACACTGTTACTGGTAAAGAGAACTTGAGTCAGACAAGCGTGGGCAGGTGGCTTGCTTCATACCCACTACTTGCTTTGAAAGCCCCAAAATGACATATAGGTTAGCTTACTTGCTTTTATAGTATAAACACAGAAAAATATGTTTTATGTAAGTACATTTGGATGTTATTATTTGAAATCTAGTAAGTTTTAAAGATTGAGAAAATTTCTTTGTTTCCTTTTCTCCTTCCCTGTTTAGACATCTCTCATTTAAGATTAATATAAGGATAGGAATCTCTGTACTATATTTTCTGACTGAAGTAGAATACTAGTGTCTGCTTAAAACTTGTTTGAGAAGATTTTTCATCTTTTTCCTATTTATATGTCTGATTTTTGTATTTGTTGTTTCCATACCATCTTAACTTTAACATCTTGTTTTGCTGGTATTGATCTTTTCTGTTGCTTTAATGTAAATTTCCTTTGGTTCTTTTACACTTGCCTGATTTCAAATACTCCTTCAGTTTCTGCTCCTCTCTACCTCTTGTATTTGTTAATTCTTTAGCATTTTTCTTCAAAAATCTATAATAGTACCTTTAGAAGTTGTATTTAATAGTTTTACAAACATAATTTTAAAAAAGAAAACAAATGTGAACCAAAATCCTGTTGACATTTTTAAATTGAAAAAAAATGCACAAAGCACAGAACATCATAAAAATGAAAAGAAAATGGTGTCATCCCACTTCCTCCAAACATAGGCCAGCACTCCCTGCAGTTAACCCGTAAGCTGGCTGCGCAGGTGTTGCTTCTATTATGTGTCAATTTCAGACCTTTATCTTTTGACTCAAAACTTTGGAATTAAATGATTAAGAAACATATCAGAAAAATCTTCCTCCCCCTCCTTTTTTTTAGAATTCCGGTTTCTGGAATAATATTTTAAAGTTCTTTGAGGGAAAGAACACTCTGATTTTTGTGTTATTATTGTTAGAAAATTACTTTTAAGTGTTTTTTAAAGTATACTCTTTCTCAGGTGTAATTCTTGTCCTGATTGAAGCCTAAATATCTTCTAGAATCCATTGATAGTTTTAAAATGAATTATTTTATAGTTAAAATTTTAGATATATCTTAACACAGACTGAGGTGCCCTTAATAATCATTAATAAGCAAAACTGGTTTTCACCCCCCCCCCCCCCGTTAGGTACATGGGTACCATCTGCTCTGAGAACCCCACCTGTTTTCCTCCGCCCCCGGGCCTGTCCTCCATCCCTTCGCCGCTCAGCCTCAGCTGATGTTAGTTCGAGGAATACATATTGATTTTCACATTGGCCTGAAAAAAACAATGCATTACAAAACTATAAAGATGAGATAATTACAGAAACTGCCCATAGAGAAACACCCAAAGTATTACAGTGGTCGCCCAGGACTGTTCCACAGGACAGTAAAATCCTGGTCTCCCAAGTGGCAGCGCCATGGTCTCTGTGTTACACACCATGAAACTTGCGAAGGACAACTGAGCACTTCTTCCCTACTTAAAGATATCATTTCTGTTATTTTTATGAAATTATACTTACCACTTGTTCACCCAGTTCTTCCAAATTCTTAGAATCAGCAGGTAGTATGGTAAACCATAAATATATGTTAATATTGATTTACATTTAATTTTTAAAACACATAGCATTTTTCTCCTCTTTTCATTTTTACTCATTTCTTATACTCAGTGCTTTCCTCCCAACCAAATTAATAGAGTGTATTGTGAATAACAGAATGTGATTCCAGGGGCTCTGAACTTTCCCAGAGGTCTTTCTGTCCTAGAGAAGAGTAGACTCTGAGAGCGTCTTTCCCTAGATTCAGTTCATTTACATTCAGTTCAATAAATATTTTTAAATGCCTCCTATCTAAAGCCAGGTACTAAGCTAGGCTTCGGGAATACCGTGCTGAACAAAACCAACCTGGCATAAAGACCAGGTCACTCAAGGAGGAGGGCAGAAGGCAGGCTGAGGCAGGGCATTTACAGAGGAAAAACATAGTTTTATAAAGTCCCAGAAGCAAGAGACAGCTTAGCACTTTCTGGACTTGCCGCTGTTGGTCTTTGTGGTTGGATCCTGGGAGAGAGAACAGAGGAGGAGGAGGAGGTCGGAGAGATAGGAGCCTGAGACACTTGGCTGTTGTGCCAAGGAGTGCCGACGTAGGGTGTCACACTCTCGTTATCTGTCCACCTTGAGGGAGTGCGATGTTTTACAGAAGAAAACTGAAACATACTCATTTTGCCCAATCATTTTTGTCAGTTTTTTAAGGAACCAACCGTGACACTTCTCCTTAAAAGAGGACATACTAAGTATAGGTTAACATTCTAAAACTCAGCGCTCTCTATTAACACTATAGACTGTACTTTCCCTTTGATACTGTAGTTTTTCCTCTTGTTCACAAAGAAATTAGCTATATTGTTGTTTTTTATGACCACTGTAAGATATACTCATGGAAAAATTCAAGCAAACAAAAATGTATATGGAAGAAAGTAAAAGTCACTTGAAATTCGGCTTCCCAGAGGTAACCACATTTGAAATTTGGGTTAAAAGTCCTGACGCTGTGTATGCACAGCTGCCTCACAGCTGCCGCCTGCCTGCCTACCTGTCCACCAACTTTCAAGCTATGATCACCTCTGCATGTGTTTTGTGTCGCTAAGCATTGTGACAATGAGATCTTTCCCTTTTGATGAAAATATATACTTTGATGCTTTTCTGGATTTACTGTGTTTTATCTCAAGGGTAATTTGAGAAAACAAATGACCAGAATTTTATGTTTAATTGGATCAGTAAACTAACTTGTAGCTTAGTTGCCAAAGCCACAGACCAATAAGGATTTTAGACTGGATTAAGAAATGAGTACATTGCTTTGAATACTAATATTGAGGCTATGGGGACTGACTAGGTTTAGTGACCAGATTATAGAACAGCTAGATGACCATTTATCTGCCTTACCAATTGCTTACAGATGTTTATCAGTTTGACCTACTTCACGTTGTTTATCTGTCCTGTTTTCCCCACCCCCACTGTCCCTGGCCCAGTGTAGGCTCTGGTGGTTGCTCCCCAGGGCTCCTCCTGTAGCCTCTCCTCCCAGCCTTCTCTAAGGGTGCACTTCAGACCTTCCGTAGTAGCACACCTGGCCCGTAATACTGAAGTTAAAACTGCTTGATGTATGTAACTTTTCATAACTGTCATGAAGAAGGCCACATGACACTCCTTAATGGTTCAGTTTCTCAGTGTGTTGCTTTTCCTGTGAACCTCCCAATAAACACGTGCACATCATTGTTTCTGTCCTTGACGAATGCCAGATCGACCTTTTACCATTCAGTTCGGGTGTGTCCACCCACAAGTCCCACCTCCCAAATACACACACCCGCTGAGCCAGTGCCCTCCCTCCTCCATTCGCTCACTGTGCTCTGCACTGACTTTTCTTGTGGGACTTCTTCTGTCACCATTTGTTTCAGGAATATCTGTCTGAGTAAAGGTTTCATCTTTGTGTCCCAAGTGCATGACACACAGCAAGGATTTAATGTCTGGATAGAATTCAACCATAAAAATCTTACCAGTTTTTAGAGTGGGCCATTGAATCAGATTATTTTGCTCTCAATTTGACAATTATATAAAGTAAGCAAAAGTCATAATTATCTTTTCTTGGACACAACAAAGTAAACTCTACACAGTGAAATCACATACAGACGTGAAGAATCTTAAATGAAAAAAGCAAACTTCAGAGCAGAATGTTTAATGTGATTCCATTTGGTTAATCTAAAAAAAAGTATTTATGTATTGTTCATGTAGACTTCTACATTATACATCTTTGATATACTCATTGAAAATATATGAAAAGATGTAAATGTTATCATTGGCGACCTTTGGGGAATAGATTTGAACAGGAAGGGTTTAATTTTTACCTCATACAATTCTATGTTCTTTGACTTTTTTTTAAAGACATGGATTACTTATATAGTAAATACTTTATTAAAAAGAAAACGCATTCATGGATCAAAGTAAGCCCCAGTGGATATTTTTAAAACATTTGTATTGCATAATTTTCCTACTGTTGTGCTATTTATTTTAAATTTTTATATTATAAAATAGCTATCATTTTAAATGTCTTTCTGTATATGATTGTTGTGCCCGTTTTACCCATGAGGAAACCGAGGGTTGGAGAAATGACACGCTTGACTGACCTAAGCCCAGGGCTGAGCTCCCAGCCCAGGTGTGTTTGACTGGGCTTCCTGAACCACTTCCTGAACATCGCACATGAGTTGGTTTAGTTTCTTTGTGTTTCACTTCAATTTTTTGGTTTCACTTTCAATTTCCCCCCACCCCCACAGGTCTGTATGCTTTGCTCTGTGGGCTATCATCTTTTTTCCTGCCATCGATCAGAAAAAACCTGTCGAAGATGGATGGCATTAGATTATGCAGGAATTTCTATTGGGATACTGGGCTGCTATGTCTCTGGAGTATTTTATGCATTTTATTGTAATAATGTAAGTAATTTAAAGCAGTTTTCATTCTACCTTTCATATAGGTCTGGATTTTCTTGCTATTGTTCCTTTGAAAGTCTGAATAAGCACACAATTAACTTAGGGAAGAAACAGAAGAGTTTTACGTAGACTTTGTTGCTACACAGTAATAGAAAACTGCCAACATAGCAGCAGTATAAAACTAGCAAAGAGAAAAATCATAAATTTGGTTTGAATGTAAGAGCATATATTAATTATAGACATAAGTGCGCCATTTGCCCTTTAGGCCTAATTAGTTTGAAACATAAGTATATAATTAAATATATATGCAATTAACTTGTTATAAATTTGGTTTAGTAGTAAAATAGATTTTAGTAGTAAAATCTTTTTATGGCCTGCTTAGCCTTCATGCTTGTTTGTTTTGAATGAAACTGTTTATGTCTTTAAAAAATTTAGACGGAATGTGCCAACTTAAACTAGAGGCTTAAGTACAGTCATGTAGTATTTGGAATTGTTTTTGCTCATCTTATTCTGTATTTCTCTAGAATCTGTTTTCTGCTTACATCTTTGTAAACATATCAGATAATCAAAAAGATCAGGCAAATACTTTTTGTAAATCTCTTCAGAGAAATTAAAAGTCAGGATAGATTAAAGAGAAAGGAGAAACTAAAGTAATACAGTCCATGATCATTTAAAGGAAAAATGTTCTTCCTTCTGGTCTAATCTTTTCCAAATATTCACCTGCTATAGTGGCTCTTTACCTTTTAAGGAACACAGGCTGCTTTGAGAATGAGACTGCAAGCTAGGGACCCTCCATCAAGGAAAATGTACATTTGGGCAAAAAGCAACCAAATATTTTGACATGTGATTTCAGGAAGCTAATAGGCCCACACAGGTCCCTGGAGTCCAGGTTAAGAACTCCATCCATGAGGTGCTAACTCTTATGCTTCAAAACCAGGTTTCTGCTGCTCACTTAGAGACCTAAATGTTCTAGAAGACCTTCAAACCTAATAAATTTTTAAATAAACATTCTTTCACGTCCCCCATTTTTCTCCCCCCAACACACACACACACACACACACACACACACACACACACACACACACACACACAGACACACACACGCGTGCGTGCGCTCATGCATTTGGACCATCTTTGTTCATTTTCTCTATTAATAGAAGCTGTGTGTGTGGTCTCTCATACTAAAAACAGCCAAGCCATCCTCTGCCGCCCTCTGACGCAGCCAGTCAGCCAGTAAGACTTTATTTCAAAAATGCCTCCTGAATCTGGTGCTCATATCCATCTTCCTTGTTCAACAAGAATCCAAGCTCCTATTCACTTGTTGAATTGGCTATTGGTATATCTTCTAGCTGACTTCCTGTCATTCTCATTCTTTTCCACATTGTTGTCAGAGTTCTTTTTCTAATGAGTCAATTTGAAAAACAGCCATGTTACCCCATTCTTAAAGAACTCTGCTCTTCTCTCAGCACCAACATGGTAAAAGTTCCAAATTCATAGCCTGCCGGAACGCTTGCCTTTCAGCCTCCCTTCCCAAAACTTCCCTGCTGCATGTGGCTGCGTGTGCTGGGTTTTTGTTTTCCCTTGAGAGCTTCCTCCTCCCATAAAATCTTACATATTCTTCAAGACCCAGCTTAGGTCATCTCTGTGAAACATTTTTAGCTACTCCAATTAACATTCATTGCTTCCTCTTCCATGGTTCTACGGCATTCTGTTGATAATGCAGTTACAGTACTTATCATTAGCTTATAATCACTGGTTTACATGTTTGCCCCTCCCATAGTCTGTGAGCTCACCCACTGAGCAAGTGCATGTCATAATCATCTTTGTTTCTCCAGGACATAAATTGTCCCTAGCATATAATAGGTCCTCAGAAAATGTTTCGTGTGATAAATGTGGTCTCTTAACCAGCTCACTTTGAAATTTGGTATGTCATCCTGAGAAACTTAACAAAGTTGTATGGAACATGGATTTTTTAAAGAAAGATAGGTAATCATGTTCAGAAATTAAAATACCAAGTAAATTGGAATGTGTAACGTAGAAGCCAAAATTACTTTTTCCTTCCTTTATTAATAACAACTAAAATTTGATCACCTTCCATTCCAGTATTGGCGTCAAGTGTACTTGGTCACAGTGCTTGCTATGATCCTGGCAGTGTTCTTTGCGCAGATTCATCCCGATTACCTCACACAGCAGTGGCAGAGGCTTCGTTCCATCATCTTTTGTTCTGTTTCGGGATATGGAGTGATTCCTACACTTCACTGGGTTTGGCTCAATGGAGGAATAGGTGCTCCTATTGTACAGGTAGGTTAAACATCTGTATTTTTTCCATTTTGTGTGTCCTTTCAATTATATTCCTTTTGGGTATAGTAGTATCAGGCCAAGTGGGGGGGTCTTTGTCACTTGAGACCATATTTATAATTATATATTGATACCATAATTTTTATACCGATATAAATAAGCGTACCTTGCAAGAACCAAGATAAAGTAACTACCATGTTTTTCTGAGCAAATCACATATACTTTTAGCTTTCTATGAAATAATACATTCTTAATTCTTTCTGTTACACCGAGTGTGTAAGTACCCGAGTCCTTACCTGTCGAGGGTGACTCACGTATTTCTAGCTTTGTCGGCTGAGGCGAGGAAACCACCAGTGACGACGCAAGCACAGATGGAGGGGCAGTGGGTGCTGTGTGTGTGTGGGTAGAGGAGGAGGAGTTGGGACAGATTTTTACCTCGGTCCTGTGGGATATAAAAGTGGAGATAGGTCATAAAATTTAGGTTAGACTTCGAGACTAGTCATTAAGTTTTGAAAATCATTGCTGTATTGGGGGCTGGAGCCGTGGAAGCATACTTGACCCACCAAAGAAAATATACTGATGAATAGGAGCTATTAGAGGTAGGTATGATAGGGGCACGGTTGGAGCACAGGAGGAAGAACCTCAGTGATAACTGCTGAATATTCTTGAAAAGAGGATTAGAAATGAGACATTTTTAGAGATCCAAATGGAAATGTTTTAAGTATGTACTAGAGAGTAAAGTTGAGAATGTTTAACATCAGTAAACATGCCCAAAAATCTAGCAGAAATCACATATACTTTTGTAATGGAAACTTCATCTGGAATATGGGAATTTAAATACAGGTAGTATTCCAAAGAATCAGATATTTTTTTGATGCGGCAGGATTACATATACTTGCAAGAAGCTGGCAACAGCATGTAGAAAAACATTTGGGTATAAAACTAAAAAGAGGAAGTTCTGTGGTTTAGCGAATTGAGTGATATGATGCCTGCCCACGTTGCCAACTTGAGGACTAGGGTGATGCTTTCTTCTTAAGACTGGGAAATAGGGAGAGCCCTGGCTGGTGTGGCTTGGTTGGTTGGAGCATCATCCTATAAACCAAAAGGTTGTGAGTTCAATTCCCAGTCAGGGCACATACCTATGTTGTGGGTTCAGCTCCAAGTCAGAGCACATACGGGAGGCAACCAGTTGATGTTTCTCTTTCACATTGATGTTTCTCTCCCTCTCTCCCTCCCTCTCTTCTCTCTAAAATCAATAAGCATGCCCTCAGATAAGGATTAAAAAAAAAGAAAAGAAAAACAGGGACAAAGGTGAGACAGTAGTGATGAGGAACTTCAGTGATCCCGACATCCATGAAAACATTATTTTCTGGGAATGTGATTTCCTGAAAATAAGTAAAGAAAATGGAATAGGGAACCGCCACTCGAGGTTTAATTCTAACCAGAAATTAGTAACTGATTGTTGATGTAGAAGTGACCAAAATTTCAGAATGGGGTGACTCATCCCTTTTAAGTTTATAATAACAAAAAAAGAGAACCAGACCCATTAAGATAGTGGATTTTAGAGAACTCAGGAAAAAGTAGGAACTTTCCCATGTGCAGACATCTTAAAATAGAAGTATGGCTTAGGAAGACAGTGGTTCTCAAAGATGGAAATCTGACATGCTTACAGGTCATTCCTGTGGAAAAGCAAAGGGAGACTTCCAGGGAAATTTCAAAGATGAAAATAAAAGCACTAACCAAAGATAAAAAGTTCCATAAGGGCTAATTCTGGGAGGTAGGTTGGAGTCGTGTTCCAGAATGTTTGAGAAATCCTAGGTTGATTATCTTGAGAATATAGAAAGTAGAGAGGGCTATGATAATTCTCAGATATTTGAAGAGAGAAGAAAAGTAACCTGTCTTTATTTCTTAAATGGCTCTTGGTCAATTGGGTTTATAACCAGAGTTAGGAAACAATACATATAAATTGTAGCTGGCTAATTTTCTTAGGGCATGGAGGAGCTTTCCAGTAGAGCGGTGAGATAGACGCTTTGTAGTAGTACTCAACAAGACCCCCTTCCTGGGATGGTGGAACAGATTTTGTGATTGGGCCGCACTCCTTGGGTCTTTGCAGCCGTAAGTCCCTGGTCTTCAGTCTTTTTGCTTATTCATCTGGTAACTCCACCCTACATGCACTCCACCCATGTATCTATATTGTAGATGGGGTTGTAGGTTGTAGGACCTTCAGCCTTTTTAAGCTCTGTCTCCTTTAGTACAGTAACCTTCAGGGCATGCTCTGTGCTCTGCTCTTGTGGACGGCTTTCTGTAGGATTAAGAGTGGGATTTCTATTATTGGAGACTGTCTGCAAAAGCAATTCAGATTTAACAGACTTAATTATAATCCACCTGTGAATTCTATCTGTAAATCAAATTCATAATAAATTGGAGTTTCAATCATAGTAGGAAGACCTGTGAACAGCATGTTTGGCTTTTCAGGACTTTGCACCCCGTGTGGTTGTGATGTACGTGATCGCTCTTCTTGCTTTCCTATTCTACGTTTCCAAAGTTCCAGAACGCTACTTTCCAGGTAGGTACTGCTTTTACACTGATTTTGTAACTTTATTCTAAATATATGGTTGATGTATAAACTTAGATTTTTTTTCAACACTACTAATGATGGAGTGGCTCTCCTCAAATGTTATCTAAACTGTTAACTTTCAAAGGGTTTTCACAGATTTTTCCTTTCATCCTTACAATGTAAAGTGAGTCCACTAGCTGTGGTTACCGCCATTTCACAATTGTGAACTAGTGATAAAGTCTTCTGACCCCCCAGCCACTGTTTTTTGGTGGAGCACTAATTATCAATTGCTATTCTTTACATGCCAACTTATTCTTTTTTTTTTTCCTTTAATTTTTATGTATTTTTAAAGAGAGGAGAATGGAGAAAGACAGGGGGAAAAACAACAGTGTGTGGTTGCTTCTCACTCACCCCCTACTGGGGACCTGGCCCACAACCCAGGCATGTGCCCGGGCTGGGAATCGAACTAGCAACCCTTTGGTTCACAAGCTGGTGCTCAATCCACTGAGCCACACCAGCCAGGGCCCAACATATTATTAAAAATTAATTTATATATGCAGAGACATGTAAAATTACAAATAAGAAGATAATGAAAACAAGCCAGGGTTAGGATCACTTCACAATATATCTGTCCAACATAAGGTTCTATCAAATAGATAAAGGCCACCAGTCTGGCTTTCAGCTTTCTGGCATCCAGCGCTAATAGGAAAGTGATAAAGGTTAAAGAGTCTTCCTGTCCACAAGATATACACAAGCTAGTCATTCAAGAGAAAGACAGATTTCCCAGGTTCTTTAGTCCAGAGGAAAAATTTCTGATAGAAAATAACTAAGAGGACACTAGGTAGAATGAACGGTGTCACTGTTTGGATTCAAACCCCACATGGACACTCACTAGCTGCATAAACTAAACAAGTTATTAAGCTTTGTGAGGATTAGATGTAGCACATTTCTTCACAAGTAGTAAACACTCGATGTTAGCAATTATTGTTATGATGTTTCTCAACCCCAGTCCCATAAATGAAATCTGTGGTTTAGTAAAGGCCAGGGTGATACAAGTTCAGGGGCCCTTTGGCTGCGTGAAGAATGACAGAGCACATTAAAGCAGTGATTTGTCATTGTAGGGCCGTACGTAGGGAGTAGTTTAATTCAAACTGCAAACTCATTTTTCCTCTCCTGGGTTGAGAACCACTTCTGTAGGGAACTGAGGACTGGTGTAGTGGAAAAAGAAAGGAGGAGAAACCCAGATCTAGAGGATGAATAGATGGTAGAACCTCGGGCATTCCTCAGTGCACTCGGTTTTTCACCAATGAGTTTTCATAAGAATGGAATACAAAGAACTCGAGTGTTGTAAACATTAGGATTCGGGGACATAATTAGGACATGTTCCTGAATTGAAGACCACCCATACTCCAGACAGGGCTGGAATTTTCCTCAGCAAACAGTTCTGGTAAAAATACATTTTTGTCTCATTTTATTTATAATAATTATTTTAAAGATTATTTCCTCTTCATCACAGACACGTGTAGAAAATTAAATCACGGAAGTTCTCTAACATTTTTAGTCCTTAAGATATTCAGATCAGGAGTTCCCAGCTGTCTAATATAGGACACTTATAAAAGGGCAAATGTTATGCAACTTAACATTTCTGCAAGATTAACTTGACATAAAATGTGCCCCAGGTACCTCTGAGCAGTGGCAATAGGTAGACCACGAAAACTCTACAGATAAAAATGATCATTTCAGATGTTCATAAATGAATGGCTTAAAAACCTTGTCCAGCCAGTCCTCATTTATGACCTGACTGTAAAGAGAAACATGTGCATTGGTGGCAGATGATGAGCGAATACCATAAAATCCAAAAACTTGAACTTAAGAACTTAACTTCAGCTCAGGTTAAATTTTTAACTCTACATAAACATCACAGTGGTATTCGATGAGTCCAGGCATCTCCCAGGTGTCCATGGACAGAACTTAGCAGATCTGTGATATCTGTATTACAATATAATCAATTTTCTTTTTAATCCTCTGTATTTTAGGTTTTTAAAATGAATCTATGGACTTCATTAGACTGTCAAAAAAGGGCTAAGAACACTTACAGAAGGAATTCTGTTGACTTACACATTAAAATCTACTGATTATTTTTCTTGGTAAGAGAAGGTTTAGAGATATTTACATTACATGACTATAGAAACATCTAGAGTAAGAAAGTTATTTCCATTTAAACTTCTATAGCCCTGTATTTTATTTTTGAAGAAGCTTCCTACAAGTTAATTATTTAATCTCCTTGGGACTTAACCTTTAATCACAAAGAAAAATAATTCTCCTAGGTTGTATATGAACTAACCAAACTTAATTAACCTATCACTAATTACATTTTGCAGATTATTAGTTTGATAGCTCAAGATTCAGACCTGAGCTTTCTCCTTACACACCTGCTTGAAATAAGAAGTGCTTCTAGCAGACCCACCTCCAGACACAAAATGTGTATACTCCATAGCAACTCCATGATTTGTAGCACTAATTTTCTCTGCTTCTCTCATGGAATGTCTTTTCTTCACCAGATATAAATTGAGACATGGAAGACTAAAGGACAAATTCCTGAAATTAACCACAACAGATTTTTGAAAACACATTCGGAATAGTATTTCTCAAATTCACCAGTATACCTTTATGAATAAAACTTTAAAATTAGACTCAAATATGAATTCATCCTTTCCTAAAAAACATTTGGCTCTTAATTGAGTCAGTTTCTAGGGGCTCTGAGACTACCAAAATCTTTCTGTTTCTGAGCTATATTTCCAAGGCCAAAAATAAAAATTTACTTTAATTTTAATTTAAAAATACTACAGTCAACATTCATTCTCTCAACCTTCCTTTACAGGACAACTAAACTACCTCGGTTCGAGCCACCAAATATGGCACATCCTTGCAGTAGTGATGTTATATTGGTGGCATCAGTCAACAGTGTATGTCATGCAGTACAGACATAGCAAGCCTTGTCCAGACTATGTTTCCCACTTGTGAATTCAGGTATGGCCACCTGGTGTATTCAGTTGTTAAGCAATATGTAACAGGGAATTGTATACCCCAATATTTCTAAAATTCCCTTAGTTTTTCGTTTTTCCTGTTTAATATCTTATGAGTAATACTTTATAAAAATGGGAAAAATATACTTCTGGATCTGTAAAAGTAACTGCTTTACAGGCCCTTTAAACTACTAATTTGCTGCTTCTACAGAAAGTGAAAATTAGTTGGCATTCAAAAGAAACATCTGAATACCAATGAATGTGAAACCAGTGTAGAAATAGTATTCATTTCACTTAACACCAGCTTAATTTCCTTAGGAAGGGCTCACCTCCATTATAAAATGGAGTCATCCTGTGTGATTACTTTAATTGAAAGTATTTACAGTTAGATGATCAAGTTCAAGTGCCTAATCAAGGCGAGGGTTGCAATAGCCTATGCTTAACACAAGCGAGGACAGTGATTTCGAGTCATCACTAGCCTTTAAATATGTGGTTTGTGAGAAACTGGCACATAAGATACTTTCTTTAGCTGTGGGTTCTCTTCTCCCTAGGAACATGGATTTTTTAGTTTGCTAGAACAAAAATTATAAACCTCTTCTCTAAGTTGAAAGAGGTGTTGAGATGAGGAAAAGAACTTGCATTATTATTTCCCATCAGATAAGAATGACATTAAAAACTGACTACATGATCAAGGTGACAGATCCTATAGTCTGATAAGTAATTAGCCATTTAAGCTTTTTAATTTCAAATATTAAGTTCATTTAATAATTGAACTTTTGTCAGCGGATTGCAGATTTATGGTTCCAAATCCCTGAAGCAGAAGAGCTTTCCCCTCTCTGAATTTGCAGTCCTAAATGTCCTGACGATGGGTTCCCAGCTATATGGGTGCTACCTTCAAGGCCATCGAATCCAGATGGCCCAGTCTTGACCCTGAAATGAACCTTAAGCCTTAGAACAAAGTCACGCAGATGCCCCCTTCGATGGCAGATTATTCACCTATGTTCTGAAACAGTAAATTGGCATTTTATTGTATATACTTAAAAAAAGGATCTCAATGCCCCATCATACAACATAACACTCTTGTTCTCTAGGGTTTTTTTTTTTCATACGCCTCAATTAAATCTCTTAAAGCAGTCACTCATAAAACCATGTTGTTTATTGGAACAGAAAATATTACCCAAGTTTCTTAATGGGTTGACATGAGCTGCTTTAGATATTGGTGTATCTTGACGACCTTGAAATTACTAAATATTAGAAGCGTTGATCGACCATGAAGCTTATTCCCAAAATGCCATTTGTACATACGATATTAGGAATGTTAATTCAATGTGCCTCAGTTCATGCATCTATAAAATTTTGTACTTTTTCCAGTGTAGTATTTTTGGAATATAGATTCCTCCATGCTAGTATCTCAGCAAGGAAAATTTTCCCCAGTAAGCCAAGGACACACTGTATTATGATGGAACACTACCTTGAAGAAGGCTGTTTTCTCTTAGGCCACAGATTTGACTCATGTGCTAAATAATAGAAGACTTTGATGTAATGATATATTTTCTCTGTAACATCCCTTATTGGCTTACATGGTATTACTGCTTTTAAATAGATATTTTGTCATTTTGGCCAAATAGACTCTTTACAATTAATTTTAAAATGATGGAGAAGTCTAGTTATTTTAGGTCTGGCACCATTTTTGTTATAAAATCATCTCAAAAACTTATTGAAAGTTAAGTTTTATCTTAATTTTAAAAAATATTCCTTTCTTTGTCAGTGTATGATTTAGCACTTGTCATCTGAATAGATAAAAAGAGCATAATGTGTTTAAGACTGTTCTTTGAATTTAAAAGGTCTGACTATAAGAATTACACCATGTAAACATTTCGTCTTTTCAAGAAAGTGTTAAATATTGTAAAGAAAGCTATCCTTTTTCATTCTTACCTTTACTATGATGTATTTATTATAATGTAGGGAATGAATGAATGCGGGTTGCTGTCAACTCTAAACATTTCTGTATATCAGCATTTACTGACCACCTACTGTGTGCATATCACTACTGGCAAAATTTTTAAGACATTGTTAACATTAAGTAACTATTTAAAATTGCCTACAAATCTGAGCCTGTAATGTATATTTATTTTTGTTTTACTAGATTTATTAAAAGTGCACTATTCAGCTACCGTACTAAAAAGTTTGCTTTTCATTTTGCCAATGTGTAAACTATAAAAGCTCTTTCCTGAAGGACTTTACATTTTAAAATTATCCATCGCTGTTTTAAATTGTCTATAGTGATTTATAAGGTTGTAGTTAACTCATTTAAGAGACGATTATCTTTCTATATAAAGGCATTTTTAAATAGCAAGATAGTGCTTGTCTTTGTCATTCAACTGAGTGCAATTCGCAAGCTGCATGGCAAAATGTTTTTATGTAAATAAACTGGTTTACTAAATATATAAAGTGCTGCTTGTCGTTCTTTATAATACATAACAGCTTCAAAATTGTATTTTAGAATCAGGAATGAAGATTCAGGGACTACATGTCACACCTTATGTCATCCCACCTGGACAGAGTAACCCATCTGAAGACTGATTGACTAGCATAAAGCTGTACAACTCTCCATTTGGCAGGAACCTACCTAGAGATAACCTTTGCCCTGTATTAAGTGTCAAGGGGCAAAGTGTGCACTTCTGGATTTCTGCCAACTGCTGAGCTGAGTAGGTCCATATCCACCCAGAACCATCATTTCAGGTACTTCCACTCCTGCCACAGTATGTGAAGAGTCAGCTCAGCAGTTAGACAAGGGGCAGAAGTGTCTTCTACAAGCATTATCACAACAATGGTGCTTATATTGAAAAGAGGCACAGATGCTGTTGAAATTCTGTAGCTTGCTTTCTGAGTAGGGTAAAGCAATAATGATCCAAAACTGAAACTTCCTTTGAGAGAACATTTTCAGAAGGGCGAAGGAACAGCAGTAGGGGACTCTTGTGAAACGTTAAACCTTCCATCTTCGGATAGCTCCCAAGGATGTAATCCTGCTCTGTAAATCTGGGATCAAAAGCACTACAGAATACAGTAACTTCCACAATGTCAAGCATCTGAAGGAAAGGTGAACTATCATCTTTCTAAATGTGCAACAAAACTCAAAAACTCATGCCTTCAATATGAGAACATTAACTATACCTTACATAGGATGCTGCAACTGGGCTTCCTTTAAAACGGATTAGCTATTCAGTATAAAGAGCTCCAATTGCAGCATGTATTTGTCTCTAAAGAAGTTAACTATAACTGAATTTGAACAGTGGTACATTCCACAGTTCTTTATATAACTTTTTTGATATTTTGCTCCTTTGTACCATTCATTTAAAAGAAACTAAGCCCTTATTTTTCCACATAACTTTAAATAAATGTTACTACTTCAGTAAAAAAAAGGTTTATAACAAATAAGATGCATCTTTCCACAAGCCACCAATCTAAAGATGCCAGTTTGTGGAATAATATATAATGTTATAGGTATTGTGATCTTGACCCGAAACCTAGTCCAGTAATCCAATACACAGGTTTTCTCTTTATCTTGCAAAAGCGTCTTTTCTGACATAATCGAGGACTACAGTATTTTACCTAACCAGATTTTAAGTTTATAAAAGAGTTTTAAAAATTATACATAATGCAAAATCTATGCCAAACATTCAAAAGTGACTTCAAAGTCTTATGTTTTGCTTTACCTTTATCATAAGTATCAGTAATTGTAGTCCTGAACAAATCATGCTGTTAAGTACTTTTATTGCAAAAATGGTAGGTCAGAATGGGTTTTCTTACTTGGATCTAAACTGTGAGCTCCTTAAGAACAGAGATCTAATCCTATTCATTTTCTCTTCCATTAACTGGTACATGATAAGTGCTTAATATCTGTGGTATGAATGAAAGAACTGAATAGAAGTTTACAACCAAAATTTTTAATGACAAATAATGAAAAACTCCAAAGTCACTGATTATAAAGAATATGCAATTCATTTGGGATTTATTGCATTTAAAGAAAGCAGACTATTAAAACAGGTATGATAAATACAGTAAGAAAATAAATTTCAAACAAAACAGTGAATGGGGGATAGAATTCATTCAATAAGAATAAGCAATCTCAAGGCAAAGTAGTAAAATCAGTTAGTGCTTAATTAGATACAGGAAGAAAAAGAGCAACTGGTTCTATCTCATAACAGTTTCCCACCTATATTTGAATTGAAGTTACTTTAGATAGTATGTTTTATAACAATTAGAAATATAATAAAGATGTAAATCAGGCTTATTAAAAGTTAAAGTTATTTGCTTAGTGGTACATAAAAGGCTTCAGAAAATTCAAGTTTAACAGAAAATGGAAGTGTAATCAAAGAAAGTGCACTTAAAGCTGTTTGCCAGCAATTAAAAAGTAGTTTACTCTTACCGTACTGCTTACTATTAGATGACTTTCAATCACAAAAAGAGTATAATAATAAAAACAATTCTCTTTCAAAAGTAGCACAAGTTTTTAAATAAAAATAACCCCAAATGATGACCCTTTGCATTTTCATCTGTCTACCATATTCTTTTAGTGGCTTCTGTAAACCCTCTCTAGGAGTGAAAGTTCTTTAATGATTGTGGTTGCAATTCCATTTAAACTAAAAATTCACATTAACTCCCCCAAAGAGAGATGTGACGTGTGCATGCACATGTGTTCATACATTTACCGTAATATATAAACACCAGTGTGTATAAGTTTTCAAATAAACTATCATTTATGTTATTCTCACAGTAAATATGCCATCTAGTTCTCACAGTAGATCTGTCAGCTCAATAGTGAACCTAAAATGATGAATCATTTTGCTTAAGAAATAAAAAAGTATACTGAACATTCTGCATATATTAAAGTAAATGTACCCAAACTCCTCAGGACTAGTGATATTAATACACATGTACCTTCTAGCAATGCTTATATGAAGTACCAAAGCCTAAAATAAACCAAGCAGAGTAGCTGAATAGTGAGAAAACTGCTCTGCCTGATGAACATCAAAGCAGAAGAGTGAGCTCACCGTAGTATTTTCCATCAGCAAGATGAGGGCAATAAGCCATGACTGTTAAACAATAAACAGGGTAGAGTGAAAAGCTGCATTTACCTACAATCCCGAATAATGTCCTAGCTGGATGGGGGGACACACATACACACATACACACACACACACACACACACACACAATGTCCTAGCTGGATGGGGACACACACACACACACATTTACCTACAATCCCGAATAACACACACACACACGCGCGCGCGCGCACAGCGGGTCACTGGAACATTTACACATTTCCCTGACTGATACTTCTGAATAAATATTCTAGTCAGTTAAAATTTCTTGCAGCCTATAGCCTTTCTTCCTCCACCTAATACACACACCAAGAAACATGTGTCCCAACAGTACATTCTTCAATGCCATAAAAGCTAATCTTTAACATTTTGCGGAAGTGACACTATTAAAATAATTAAGCAAATGGTCCACTTCTACAGATTAGTCAAAAATCAACAAGCATGATTAAAGCTGTTAGAGCAAAAATAACTTTGGCCTCAGATTTTTGCTAGCTTCATAATATTTTACTTCCCTTAGTGATGTTCAAGTATTACAGGTTTAGAGTTATAACTAACATGCTAGAGGAGCACAGAGGACACTTGATTAATAATAGGAAAGTAATTTCTATTCACCTTTCCTTCCTCAAACAAGAATCGGACCATCCCATTATAGAGCCAAACTTTAATTGGGTGCTATTACACTTTTTCACATTCCTTGGGAGTGTTATTCTCCTAATTCTCTTAAGGGAATGACCTGGGCATCAGCTGTCTGGAGTCACCTGCATCCTAACAGTAGTGGGAGGAAGTGACTGCGAACGGAGAGCAAACCTGATCCCATACTGCTTGGGAAAGAGGGGCCTCTCCCCCAACACACGGGCATCTCCCCACTTCGATCCCACGGCGTCCCCTCCTGAATCCTCAGTGTTTCCTCTGAACTATAATCTGAAAAGAGGGAAGTCACTGGGCTGTAATGTAAGAAACCTATGAATGTGTTTTAAACAATGTCGAAGTTGTTTCCTTAGAATTCATCCAATATTGTAAGCCGAAGTGTCTATGTCAGTGTCTAAAGTCATTAAAAAACATTCAGTATATTGATGAAATGCAAATGTAAGCAAGGCCTGGTATCAGAGAGTCTAGGTATTTCATGTTCACATCCCATGGAGACCACACTAATTCATCTACTACCCCTTCTAAATTACAAAATTCATGAGGTCTAGCAGAGACCAAGGCCAAGGACTAAAATAGTCAAAGAAGCATACTGTGCACAACAACCAACAGATTATCATTAAAAAAAAATTCTTCTGTTTGATACAAACCTACTGGTAGTTCATGAATTTACTATATGTAATCATCAACTCTTCACTTTTAAAAGAAAGTATCCTTTGAATCTACTTTGTAAAGATTTTAAAAACATCTACGTAAGCATTTGCATTAGCAGTATTAATCAACCTGAGAATCAGAAAATAAAAAAAAATACGTGCAAACACACTATTTGCCTTTGGCACAGGACTAGTAATGGGTGCGGTCGGGCTCTAAAAGTACAACTTGTAAGTGGTAACATCATGCGTGGTCTGCCTCTGCTAACTCTGATTCACATATTGCTTCCCTGTTTGTCCACAAATTTGTTTGTTTTAAAATAGAAAAGAGAAGCAATAAAAACATGAATATATGTTAGTTACATATGACTTGCTTCTTTCCAAGTTTAGAACTGTGAAAACAAGCAAATAGCTCATCCCAATTGGGACACTATAATTAAGAGATTCTATCAATAATAAGATTACTCATAAAATACACTTTAATTGGGCTCAAAATTAATTTAAAATATAACAATCAAGGAGAGTGCCAGTTGATAAGAGTTTCCACCCTTTTTGTAAATACCTCTAACAATTCTAGAAACTTCCAAATGCTAATTTGATAGGGAAGGACAGTTAATTATAACTTAAAATACTTGAAGACAGAAGAAGCACAGATACTATATTCACATTAATGCATATATATAATTTCTATCTTATTAGACAATTTCTATAAAAAAATCTCAAGTTTCTAATTAGGATTTGTGATGTTAAAAAAAAAAAGGCAATTTGGTAGCTGGGTTCTTTTCACTAAAGACACAACTAGTAGAGTTAAGACACTAGTCTCTTATCATCTAATACTTACAGCCATTTTAAGATCTCGCTTATCAGTGCCGAGGTACTTGCGGCAGGCCCTAAGAGTCCTGCATGTAAGGCTTGTGGCTTTCATTGCTCTGTGCACTTCATTAAAACTACTCTACCCCCCAAAACCTAACTAAAAAATTGTCATTCATGACTTAGGAAATATTTGGTGAAGGTGGTAATTTAAAGTACATTATTAAATGCAACATGATTTTACATTGTAAACGTCTTAAAAACTCAGGGTTTCAGCTACACATTTTTTTTTTCCTGAAATAAAAGTTCTATATAACCTTTGTCCTCACTCCCAGTTTTCTAATAATCTACTTTATTAGGGACATGATAATATGAATTTTGAGGAAGAAGCAAGCTATTCAAAAGGTGAATATTAAATATTCCTCAAGTATTTTTGTTTCTCTTCTATATCATTTTTCCTTTTACGTTTTGCATACATCTGGCAAAAACCTCTTGTTTTTGTTCTAGGCTTATATGTAGATACTCCATATTAATGGCACTTGTTTTTAAAAATGAAAGTTTTAGGCACAATAGTTACTTCTGGCTCTGCTTTGTAGAGAAAAGTATAAGGACTAAAATCTCTGCATTCTCCAGATAATAACTTTCTGATTCTTTATGAGAATAAAATTCTCTTTGACTGTGTGGAAATTAGAAGAGTCTAAAAAATCTACAAGTGCAACCTGTATTTGTACAGATAACCTTAGCTTTAATGCTGGATTCTAGAATGAGCCTAGGGTATGCACATAAAAGTGACATTCTGGTATAAAAATAACAACTCATCTTTCCAGTCCCTCTTCAGTGGCTGAAAAACTGGAAACAAGCCACATGCATTCCCTGGATTTCTGTGCTGTCGTCATGTCAGTAGCTGAAACCCTGGGTCAGAGCTTCCAGTCCAGCTCCCTATTTTCCTGCGTGGACAAGACACCAAGTCACTACCCTGTGGAGAGACTTCCTTTTGCTATTTGGTTTATTTAAAAATCACCTATTCTGGCTGACCTGTAAGAATGAATGATACAAAGGGCTATACAAATCAATTTTCCTTCAAATTCATAAAACTATTCATACTTATTGGAAACGGGGGTTAATACCAAGAGTCCATTTGAAGTATCTACTGTTTAGAAGGAAATGGAGCAGCACCAAATGGGTCTAATTCGACTGACTGCGACTGTTGGGACTGAGGTGAAGTAATGCTTTGCACCACAAGTTCTGTAAAGGGGACGGCACCAAAATCATCCATTTTCAACGCATCTGCACTATGGAATGACCCATGAAGTGAATTGGGTCTTGGCCGTCCGGGCAGCACGGGATTATGGTCGGCGCGGAGGTCACTCAGGCTCTGATGTGGGGGGTGCCAAGGCAGGTCTGGGGGATGAAAGGGCTTGGCCCCAAAGGGGTCCAACAGACTCTCCTCAGGAGGCAGGACATTCCCTCTGTCTTTCCCATCAGTCAGCGTAACACTGATGTTCTCCTTGGAGTCTGAGATGGTCAAAAATTCATTGCTGCTTTGAGAGTCTCGGCGGCCCACCTTTTTGTGCCTGCGAGCCCTCTCTGGAGTGCGGTAGGTCGGCTTCATGGTCTTCTTCGTGCTGGTCGGCGTGCCGTGGTGCCGCTTCCCATTGCTTTTGGACAGATCCTGTTTTGTGCGCCTTTGGCGAGAAGACAGTTTCTGTAAGCTACGCTGCTTGACTTTTTGCTGCTGACTCCCAGTTATTTCCTCAAAGGGCACAAGCCCAAAAAGGTCCTCGTGGATGTCACTTTTACTTGTGGATGTGGGAAAGGGCTGAAATGGAGTGGAGCCAAATACATCTATACTTTTGGGACAACCTGGGAGAGTCTGCGCTCCAGGCACCACTGCACGGCCATCTTGTAGGTTCACCTTCTTGCTAAAGGGTGCCTTCGTGAATACATCAAATTCCTCCTGCTCCAGTCCCACACCAGGAAAACAGGTCTGTTGAGAGAGGTTCTTTTCATTTTCTCCTTGCTGGGGCTGTTGAGCACGCACTGCAAAGAAGGGGACAGCGCCAAATACATCAAACTCCTCTTTGGGGGTCTGCACTCCAACATCACAGGGTAACTGGGTTGGGCTGAGGAGAGTTACATCAGGATCTTGGATGGGCCCGCTGCCGGCTTTGTCTCTGTAGGCAGGGCTCCTGTCACTGTACTTGGCTTTGGCCTGTTCATACTCAGAATCAGAGCTATGTTTCTCTTCTTCTTCCTCATCTTCAGAGTCCATGAGGAGGGGCCTATGACCCAGATTTTCCGGTTCAGTATCATCATCATTGAAATCTTGTTCTCCCTGAAGAACTTCTTCATCCTCTTGCTCTTCCTCTTCACTGCTCTTAGGAGAAGGGGGATCTGATTCAAAATCACTTTCAGACTCGTCATTTCCCTTCTGCACTTGACCCGGTACTGATGAATTCTCTGAGATTTTCTTTCCAGCCCGGTGGTCTTTAGATACAGGACTTGTCTTTCTATTCTTGATCAGGTTTGCAGTGCTGTTTTCTTCCCTCAAGGATGAGTGTTCAATTTTCTTTTCAGGAGAACCTGCAGGTTCAAAGAAAAATTATTATAGCATTCTAATGCATGTCCAAAACCATTTGCACTAACACAAAGCATTCCATGTCCCTCATACCAGTTCCCTTAGAGTAAGAGATAATATCAGTTCTTTGTCATTATGCTTAGGGAATTCCACTTGTTCTCAATTAGACGGTCAGGTCCTTTAGTGCAGACAGACTTACTTGTCTCTGTTCCCTATATACCACCTACTCCTCACTGGTCCTCATCTACAGCTAAGTTTTATTTATAACACCCAGAATAGAACTCTGAACAGAGTACACAAGCAAATTTCCTTCTCCCACCTTCAAAATAAGATTATTCAAACAACTGCCCCTGCAAGTATCTGCTTTTATTTACCAAACAACCTTCTGCTTGTATTTCAACTCTATTATAATGTTTTCCCAGAGATCAACAAGCATGAATATCTTGTCTGCTTAATTATGTGTTTCACTGTAATTTTCTTAATTGACATTCCGTGTCTCAGGGTTTGTGGGTTTGTTGTTTTGGGGGGGTTTTGGTTTTTTGTTTGTTTTTTCTTTTGTAAACCTTATGAGTTGGGTTACTATGAAATGCATCCCCATAGCCTGACCAAAGCTAAGGACCAGGTACTGAAGTGAAATTAAACCAGGGACATCTGCCTTCTCTAGGTGATACATATTCCTTTAGCTATCATTTCTATATGACTAGACATTACATTAAAAGCACAGGCTACCCTTTAAAAAAATCTTAACTATCACTATGGTCAACGTATGATAGGTAATAAAGTTGCATCAAACAAATAGCTTTACAATTTCACTGTGTGGTATATACTAAAGATACAGTGTATTAGTTTACATGAAAATATGCTGCCCTCCCAATACACTGGTGTAGTTCATTGATTTTCCAGAAGTAGGGAGCAAATTGAGTTGATCCAACTGCATATCCATTCACCCTTTCCCCTGTGACTAAGATCACATATTTTCAAAACAATTAGCTGCGGCTGGAAGTGTCGTCTGTAGTCATGAAAACTGAGTAGCTTACAATGGCAGGATTATCACTTTCCCACTAGGAACGTGATGCTCCCTGAGGCACATGGCACCTCAGTATCTCCTTTTCCCTGGAAGTTGGCGCTACTGTCCGCACCTCTCTGACTATTCTTTCTTGGTCATATTTGTAGACCCCCCTTTCACTAGCATCTCCTTAAACACGTATGGTCCCCAGGCTTCTATCCTTGGTTGTCCTCCTCTCTCTGCGTGTCTTCCCTGGGTCTTAACTAATGGATTTTAATCGTCACATACACCATAATGGGCCTCTAACACCATGAACACTCATGTATCTTTTTCATCTAACACTTATCATTAATATGTATCCTACCATTACTTCAAACTCAATAATTTCAAAAGAAATCATCCTTCCTCTTAAAATAGGTTCCTCACCAGTTCCCATGGAATGACACTTCCTTCTACCTTGTTCTACAAAACAGCAGAAAGTCATTTCTGCTGGAAGTTATTTTCCCTCTCCCCACCAGTGTTTTTAAAATCTCTTGAACCTGTTCCCTCTGCTCCCTCTGCCAGTTGTTTATTTCATTCCCTCCTTACCTCTCATCCAGCAGCTCTGAAGCTTCAAAACTTGCCCGTCTGCCTCCCGTCCCATATCCCTCAAACTGCCCTACCCTGTAATCAGAATGACTTTTCTGAAACACTAATCATGTGGCAACTGCTTAAGACCTGTCAGTGGCTCTCAGAAGTCCCCACCCTTATAGCCCACACAGGGCGCTCTTCTCTCTCTGGATCTGTCCAATCCCACCTTTGGCCTCAAGCCCTGATGTCTCCCGTGGGTTTTCTTCATTGTAACCGCACCTGAACTCTCCCTAAACTCGGGAACTCAGTAGATTTGGACAAAGTGGATTTTCTTTCTTTGTTTTGTAACTGTCTAGCTATCCAACCTCTTAAAGTTTGCTATCAGAAACTGAGGAGCCTGACAGATTTGGGCGCCCAGGGGCACTCTGCTGTTTTAACTTCTCTCTACCATTTAATACGATACCTCAGTATGAATTCCCACTAGCATCCCCACTCACACCTGACTTGCCTGGTAGACCTGGCTGTGTTTCAGACCCAGCCCTATCTCAGCCCTTTGGAGTCACTCCTTGAAAAACACCTGTATTTGGTGCTTCTGATGAATCTAGTTCAAGCCTTAATTGTAGCACCTATTGAACGGTACTGCAATTATCTGTTTACTTGCCTGTTTTCCCTACTTAATTATGAGCTCCTAGACACAGGCCTCTTTATCACTTACCGCATGTATCATTCATTTCTACCCTACCACTACACTGAATCAGTATTTGGTGAATGGAAGAGTGGCTACCCTGAGCTCACAGCTATGGACACATACACAGTCAAGGTATTCAGAATACAATAAAGCAAGTTACACAGAAAAATAAACCCTTTATATTTGGAGATTGTTTTAGCTCAGAATTCAGTTATAGAGTCAACAAACACATTTTATAGGGTTCTTTATTACATGCTATGTACACTAATCATATATTCGTGCAAACTCCAGGAGTTTACAGTCAAGTGTGGGGACAGAGAGCACAAGCACACGTGAACTGTGGCGTCCTCTGAAAGAACGGAGCAGCGGGGCGAGCCCGGGGCAGGAAGGCATCGGCCTCCTCTGGACGGCCAGCGAAGGCTCCCGGAGGAGACGGCTGAACAGAGACCAGGACAGGCAGAAAGCTGCTCCAAGTAAAAGCCACAGCGTGTGTGAGGGCCGGTTCAAGAAAGAGGCTGGCATGTGTGAGGGACTGGGAGCACAGTGAGCAGACGGAGCACTGGACAATACGAGGTAGGAGAGGAGGGAAAAGGACCGAGCTGTGAAGGTCCTTTTATGGCCATGACAAGGAGATCGGATTTTGTTCTGAATTGTATAGTGGAATGCCATTACAAGGCTTTATTTAAAATGAGTATCATGATCAGATTGATATTTCAAAAGATAACTAAGAAGAGGGTGCAAAGTGGGGAGGTCAGGAAAGAGGAGGTTGTGGTGATTTAAGTTAGAGTTTGGTGGCCTGGACGATGGTGGTGGCGGCAGGGTAAAAAGTGAAAGAATAAGATACTGAAGAGGAACACTCTGGATGGATGGTGGTGCCATTAACAGAGAAGAGTGAATAAAGAGTAACTTGAGAGTGAAGGACATTATCAGGAACTGGTTTTGGACACAAAGCTTGCAGTGTCTTTGAGACACTGAAGTGCGAGCAGATACCTGAGGCTTGAGCATGATGGTTGGTTTTTAGCAGGGGAAAACAGGCTTGGGAGTCACTGCCACGCAGGGGGTATGTAGCCAGTCCCGGGTCTGAAGGAAATCACCTAGGAAGAGTAGACAAGAGGACACGTGGCAGGGGCCGGATGGGGACTGAGCCCTCAGGTGTCAAACATTTACACATCAGCAGAGGGACCTGCAAGGCAAACTGGAGAGTGCCAGAGAAGAGGACCAAAGGCAGGTGAGTGCACTGTCACAGAGGATAATAGAGAAGAAAGTGTTTCCTGAGGTTGGAGCAGACAGCTGAGCTGGGCGACGCAGAGAGCCCCAGTGAACTGAGGGCGGCACGTGGCCGTGGCCCAGGCCAGCTCTGCAGTCTGCTGGCCGTCCTGAAGTGCGGGGCGGGCGGGAAGCCCAGTAGGGCTGCGTGAGGGAGGGGGGAGGTGTGGAGCATTCCATCGGGTTATACTTAACCGCAAATACAACCTTCATCTATTATTCACCGGCCCACTTTCTTAAAACTAGGAAAAAGATGTGGGCTGTTTCTTGACATAATAGGCTTATTTTGAATCCTAACAAATTAAACACAAATCAAATGCAGATTCTCCAGTTAGACTTCTCCACACGGCATATTTCTGATATAAAAATCGAAGATTACTTTTAGATTAGCCACAGAATTTATTTTCATGAATTTTTATTCCAAAGGAAAAGGTTGAATGGCAAAGACGTGCAATCATCCCCACTTTGGGAAATACCCTCAATGCTGCATTATAACATATTACCTCCTCAAGCTACTTACCCACCCACAGAGAACCACAATGTACACCCCTCATGCCTGCTCAGGCACATCTTTAGGAACATTCCAAAAATATGTTTTCCAAAGTGTACCCTGCAGAACACTATCGCCATGATAACCAAAGTGTCCTGTGGTCTCAGGTAACAAAAATGCTGCACTACATAACGTGTATGCACCTCTACTCACCTAGAACATGCTCATTATATCAAAGGTGTAGGTCAAGTCCTACAGAGAGCAATCCATTTAGTTTTGTGAAACCTAAATTTCCCAAATCTGCTTCACTACACTTTTATTTACATGTAACATCTATTAACCTTTATAAACAACTTTGCCAAAAACACTTTGGGAAAATGCTGCCCTACAACTTCTCTGGGAAATTTCCACTTCTAGGGCACAGAGTTTTGTTCCTAAAGGTCTTCTGGAACATTCAACATAAGACAAAACCCTTCAATTGACCTTCTGTTATTCTTATATTTCAATCCCAGTCTTCAGATTAACTGTTTCCTTTAGGCAATTGGCCAACACTGCTTTCCAAACACAACTGTCACCTACTTCTCATTCTGTCTGCCCTCTGTCGGCTCTTCAAGGTTTCTTAATAGAGATATACATTTCTTGGTTGTAAAGTGCCATACAGAACTATGTTTTAATTGTCTGTGGATATAAATTTGTGGCTTTTTTTTTCATTTTTAGTGCATCTTTACAGGTAGCATTAATAGAAACATGATACAACATTGTATATGTAACATTTAATTACCTATAGTCCCTCTAGGTTGTTTCTAGTCTTTCAGCATTTTAAATAGAGCCATGATCATGCACTTTTTCCTTGAGGGGGAAAAATAATAAAATTCCCCCTTTTAAATATCAATTTAACTTCATTGATTTACTTTTTTTCCCCCTTTTATGCATAATACACAGCTAATAAAGTTAAGCCAGTAACAATCTCTGGATAAAATCACAG